AGGTTCAGCTTCAGCATCAGTCCTTCCAATGAACACCCAGGACTGATCTCCTTTAGGATGGACTGGTTGGATCTCCCTGCAGTCCAAGGGACTCTCAAGAGTCTTCTCCAACACCACAGTTCAAAAGCATCAATTCTTCAGCACTCAACTTTCTTCACAGTCCAACTCTCACATCCATACATGACCACTGGAAAAACCATAGCCTTGACTAGACAGACCTTTGTTGACAAAGTAATGTCTCTGCTTTTTAACATGCTGTGTATGTTGGTCATAACTTTCCTTCCAAGGAGTAAACGTCTTTTAATTTCATGGCTGCAGTCACCATCTGCAGTGATTTTGGAGCCCAACAAAATAAATTCTGACACTGTTTCTACTGTTTCCCCATCTATTTGCCATGAAGTGATGGGACCGGATGCCATGATCTTAGTTTTCTGAATGTTGAGCTTTAAGCCAACTTTTTCACTCTCCTTTTTCACTTTCATCAAGAGGCTCTTTAGTTCTTCACTTTCTGCCATAAGGGTGACAGAGCATCGTGTTTCTTGGGAGAGACAAAAAGCAGGAAGCCAGCACGGTTAGATTTTCATCACACAACTCAGGCACTGGGCTGAATATGCGAGTGGCACTTCTTATCACGAAAATAGGACAGAGCGTCATGTTTCTCGCTGTGGTCCCTAAAGCTCAGCAAGCTCTCTGAACCTTCCACCTCCAAGTGCATGCTGTGTGTCAGCAGCATCAGCCTCACCGCCAAGCTTGTTAGAAATGCAGGCTCCTGGGTCCCACCCTAAGCTGAGTCACAGCCTGTGTCCCCAAGTGATTCATAACACATGCTAATTCGGAGAAGCCCACCTCCATCACAGTGCTTCCCAAAGTTAAGCCTACATCAGAATCCCCTGGAGGGCCTGCTAAAATGTAAATTCCTAGGGCTCACCTCCGAAGGTTGAGGGGGTTTTTTTGTTTTGTTTTTTGTTTTTTGGGAGTGCTGCACAGCGTCCGAGATCTTAGTTCCCTGACCAGGGATTGCACCCATGCCCACTGCATTGGAGGCATGGAGTCTTAACCACTGAATCACCAGGCAAGTCCCTGAGATTGAGTTTGGTAGATCTGGTTGGAGGTATATGGGTGCTAATGCTGCTGATCAGCCACCACTTTGCTTTCCCCTGAGTGAGGAGCTCCTGCCGAGGCCACACAGCATTTGCCAAGTTGGAAAACAGCCTAGAACAACCCCAGACTGCAGACGCTGGCAAAGCTTTAATGGGACCAGGCCAGTCAGCGGGCTCACCTCCACCATGGCCCTGGGCGCAGCAGCCCTGGGCGCAGAGAGACAGCCACCACCACAAGACGTCTCTAGGACCCAGGGCTGGGCACAGTCCACTGTCCTCGCTGTGTCCTAGTGTGAGGCCCCCTTCCAGTAGACCCCATCTGGAGCTCGGGAGATCCAGTCCTGGCTTGAAACTTAATCAGAGAGACCTCAGGTGCCTCCTTGTGCATGAACTCAAAGTCAGGGCCACTCCTCTCCCCTTTCTTGTCTCTACCCAGGGTCTAACCACTTACTCTTAGACTTCAACCTAAGAAAGATCCCAGTAGGACCCTCCCCTGGGGTCCCCATCATACCCCTTCTGGAGTGTGCTAATCACAGTGATGAGTCTTTCAGATGGAGGCTACCTGGTTGAGGCCAAGGTGTACATACCCGCTCTTTAGACATGACTTCTCTGAAGGCCACAGTATGATTTTCTGGAATTGCTGTAACTATAAGTAAGAAAAAAAAGTTAATTCTTCCATCAGGGATGTCACTATCTAACCAACCGTCTTTAGATCCTTTAATTCTTTCAGTGCTTATTAGTTCCTTTTGCTTTCCTGCAGTCATGAAATTTTCAACCTGTAAAATCTTAGGCTACAAGAGATCATTTCTTAGTGAATATTGTTTCCAGGCTTAAAATTTTGTTGCTGGTGATGACAATCCGTAAAAGGCACATAGATTGTAAAAATACTGTTTTTCAAGGCTGTGCATCTTATTTATATTAAAGATAAATATGTGCTGTGAAATAAACACTGTCCCTTGAAGGAACCCATCCATCCATATTTAATTACTAATGATAGATTAGATAATGGTAATTATCTAATGGTAGGCACAAGGTGTAAAGGTAAAGAGATTGTGATGCCGCAAACTTGGCCTCTGTGCACCAGAGCCGAATCGAATCTCAGAGACAGTTTTTAATGAAACAGAAAAGAACAGCTTTATTGCTTTTCCAGGCAAAGGGGGACACAGGGGACCCATGCCCTCAGAACGGAATGTCCCAACCCAGGGGGACTTGGTGAGGAGTTTTATAGCAGTGTTCAGGGTGGGATTGCTGGTGAGGATCAGGGTGTGTGCAGGACCTGCACTCCTTTCATGTGGCCTCAGATGGTCTCCTGATAAGCTTCTATGATTCTGGGGTTTATCCCAACTGTGACCTGTTCTCTGTATCTGGAATGAAGCATGTTTCATCTAGTAGTTAATATCTTTCATTTGTTGGGGGTTTTAGTTCTGCAGACAAACTCAGAGGTATTGTTATGTGTCCCCTGAGGCGGAACCAGGACCCTGTCCCAAGGCTGCATCCCTCACTTCCCTGATTAGCAGCTGTTTGAACCTGCCCTTCAGAACTCAGGGAAGGTCATGGAGGCTGAAGCCTGTTTCCTACAAACAAGAAATGGGGGACAGAGGAAGGCTTCCATGACCAGGAACCCACAGCATTCTGTGCAATTTCGATTGGTGGTGGACTTTATCAGGTTTGAAAGGTCTCCTTTTGAACAGGAGACCTTTTCAACTTGATTTGAATTGGAACACTTTATAGAAGAAAAGAGCAAGACATATTCAGGATATAGGAAATTTCTTGGTGAGCTCAACTTCCCAGAACTTTGTCTGGAACAGCAGTCATAGGGGAATGCAGAAGAGTGTAGTTGGCCTCTATCATGCTGAACTGTGAAACTCAGGGCACGTTCTACATCAGGAAGGCAAAGGCTGAGCAGAATGAGTTAACAGCTTTGAACCCTTAGTCTTCAAGGTCAGCCTTCAAACATCTTTCATTCACTTCCTTTTAGAAATTTGAGAATGAAGTGGATCCACCTATATCAATCAGAAGCATTAGATTTTTTTTATTTTATATTGAACCAGAGTTAACAATGTTGTGTTAGCTTCAGATATACAGCAAAGTGATTCAGTTATAAATAGCATTCTTCTTCAAAGTCTTCGAGTCTGTTTCTGTTCTGTAAAGATAGTTCATTTGCATCATTTTTGGGGGGGATTCTGCATATAAATGATATATTGTTTTTCTCTGAGAAGTATTTTATATATAATAAGATCCAGAAAAAATACAGTTCAAACTAGCTTAAAAACTAAAGAGTACTCAATTGGTTGATGTTACTACAAAATGCAGAAGCATCACCAGGTTTTGGCATGGTTTGACCAGGGAAGTTAAAATCTAGTTTCTTTTTCTTCCTGTTTCAAAATGGTTGCTGGAAGCTCAAGGCTACACGCTGCGTCTTCCACTTTTTTCATGAAAGCTGGTCCTCTGTTCCAAAGCTCTTGGCAAAAATCCTGGAGTTTAACTGGACTGGTTGAGCAGCTTGGCTACACTGGTAACCAAAAAACAAGCGAAGCAATAGTCCGAGTGACAGGAACCTGGATTCAGAGCCCAGCCCTGAGTCACCCCAGGTACCAGGAGAATAGGATTATTTGTTTAGTTGCCAAGTCATGTCTGACTCTTTGTGCCCTATGGACTGTAGCCTGCCAGGCTCCTCTGTCCATGGGATTCTTTAGGCAAGAATACTGGAGTGGGTTGCCATTTCCTTCTCCAAGGGATCTTCCTGACCCAGGGATCAAACCCACTTCTTGAATAGGATCCTCTGGCTTAAACCATTGAGCCACCTGTTGGCAGTAGACATGGGCTCAATCCTCAGCAGGCTTTTCCATTGCCCCAGACTTGGTCATAACACATAGAACCAAGACAGGGGGATGGAGATTGTTCTTTGCTGTCTGAGAAAAAGCAGGCCCAAGGAGGATTCTCCAAATCTGCCACCTCAGTCTGTGACCCGAGGACGGGAATGATTTAGAAGCAAGTGTGTCTATAAAAGGAAGAGCTGGTGAATAGATGTGGGCTAAGCAAGGAGGCTGTCTAGCTTTTGGCTGGTGAGTGATCACCCAAGTCAGAAGTACCCTGGAAACATCTTCATTTGTAAGAGCAGGCTAATTCCTTAAGAATTCATTGAGGTTTTCTGTTACCTAGGCTGACTTGATAGATAGCTTCAGTTGAAAACACTGAAGGTGGTGAGCAATATTACATTTATATCTCCAACTAATTACTATGTATAGGTCCACAGTTATGTATGAAAATTAGTGAAACTTAAGGAGACAGTGTGTTCTGATAAATAGGAAATGTGTGATCTAAAATTACTTTTCCATGTGTTTTTCTAATCAGGGAATGTATATGTGTGTGTGTGTGTGTGTATATATATTTGTAAAGTAAAAAGTAATACTTCTAAAAAATATTGATGCACTTTGGGCAAAGAATAAAGTAACTTTGTTTTGACTGTTATGTAATAGAACTAATTGTGAAGTCCCTAGTCCATATAGCTTAAGAAATGCAAAATGAAGCCTGGTGCTTAGTTTTTGGTACAGATCTTAAGTATTTGGCCACGAATGAATAATTCTTGGTGGGCATTCGTGACAGTGCACCAGGGACAACTTGATTCTCTGGGCTTTGATTATTCTTTTTCTACCTTAAAAGTTGTATCAGTGGATGTTTATTATTATTATTCTCTTCTGCTTGTCAGCCTGAGAGTTTGCCTAATGAAAAGAGCTGCTGAGCCTTTTGCATGTAAACCCTGATGCCATGGAAGCTCAGCCCAAGGCCACAGAAATTGAATGCATACCAAAGATGGGTGGACTTACAAAGCAAACAGTTCCCAGACTGAGTGATCATGTAATTCACGCCTTGTTTTTCTGATGATTTTTTTTTTTTCAGAACCGGATGGAGGAAAGCAAAGCACTCTTTAGAACAATTATCACGTATCCCTGGTTCCAGAACTCCTCAGTTATTCTGTTCTTAAACAAGAAAGATCTTCTAGAGGAGAAAATTATGTATTCCCACCTAGTTGACTACTTCCCGGAATACGATGGTAAGTCTGCACTCTTGAGGCAGTGCGTTAGCCAGGGAAATATCCCACCTCCTGAGGCCAGGGCCAGAGCTGACACATTCCCATACTCCCTCAGTGCCTCAGAAGCCTGCGTATTGGTAACTGATGGAGTATGAATCATTGTTTGTCCTGTCTTTTAATGACCTGAAATGTTTCACTTCCCAACAGTGATGAAAGTTACACTTACTTCAAAATATATAAGAAGCTTTCTTTTATATCAGAGGAGGGAACCATCCCCTAGTTTTGCCTGTGTATCAACCATTCTAGTTCCCTCTTGAGTTCCCTTTCATTTCCTTACAGTCTGCCTCTCCCTCTCTCTGGAGAGAAAACAGAATTTTGTGGTCAAGAGCCCATGGTCTGAAGTCGATCTATCAGCTTCACATCCCAGTTCTGATACTTCGTATTTGTAAACCTTGATCGAGTAAGTTAGTTGCTTTGGGCTCTAGGACCAAACTTTTGTTGACTGGAATAGATAACGTAAGTGTGACATTTCAGCATGATGCCTGACACAGATATTTTCTTCGGAGGGCTTCATGGGCCCCATGAAGCCCCATCATCCTGAGAGAAGACACCCATCTTTTAAACCCTGCCTGTAACACCCACTTTGGGACTCCTGTGTATGTACTTTGCATTATTTACTTCCTTCTTATAACAGATCTTGCCTCCTCAACTAGACTGAAATCCTGGGTGACTGAGCACAATACCCAGCCCCTTCCGAGAAATATTACTTGCTGAGAGATTGGTAACAAAATGCATCCATACCAGCCACTCTCAAACAGGTGAAAGAATCACAACCACTGCCTTGGAAGAACTTACCTGCAGAACCCACACTCAGCTCCCCACACATGCTCGAGTCTAGATTAGGAGTGGCTAACTGTGGGCTTCCTAGGTGGCTTGGTGGTAAAGAATCCACCTGCCAAGCAGGAGATTCAGTTTTGATCCCTGGGTCAGGAAGATCCCCTGGAGAAGGAAATGGCAACCCACTCCAGTATTCTCACCTGGGAAATCCCATGGACAGAGAAGCCTGGTAGGGTCGCAAAAGAGTCAGACATGACTGAATGACTAAACAACTATGGCCCGTTGCCTCTTTTTATAACTAAAATTGTACTGAAACAGCCACACCCACTCCTTTATATGCCGTCTGGCTGCTTTTATGTTACAGCAGCAGAACTAAGTGGTTGTGATAGAGCTCAAGTGGCCCACAAGCTCAAAGTATTTACTCTGTGCTCCTTAAACAGAGAGAGCTTGCCGAACCCAGATCTAAGTAAATAGTAGGTAAGAGGACAGACTTTGAATGTCACACAGTACTGTACCGGCTCTGCCACTCACCAGCAGTGGTGCCTCAGTCAAGTGTAACGCCTCAGTTTCCTGCGTGAAAAAGAATTGAATGGAATCACGTATGTAAGTCACGTGGCTCAGTGCCTGGCAGACAGAAGAACACAAACCCAAAAGTACCTATTACAGAGGTGCAACAAGAGAATGGGCTATTTTTAAAAAATACTTTATCAGCATCCGCTCTCTGGTGTGTATGTCAACTCAGCACCATTTTTGTACTTCTACGAACTCCTTAAGAAAGGTAATTGCTTCAAAACTAGTACTCAGCTTGTCCTCATAGCCTTCCCCCAAGATGCAAACACATCGAGGGTGGAGTTTAACTCATCTTCCATCACACGTGCGTGTGGTACGGTACTGCTCTTGGAAGGGAAACGTTACATGTTGATGAACTGAAGTTCCTTTTCAGATGCACATAGGATTCTCACGTGTAGGGATGTTATCATACTGGTTTTGTCAGCAAGGTGTTCCCATCCTCTGTCCAAGTAGCTTTTCCTTTGTGTTTTGAGGCTCCTTTAAAAACAAACACTTGCCCAGCCTATTCTCTTCTCCTTTTACTTGGCCACTAGCCTGCCACCAAGTCACAGATGCCCAAGCCCGTGGTCCTCAGCGCTCCTGAGCAAACGGTGGAAGGAGATAACCTAGCACTCGTTCTCTCCCACAGCAATAGGCTGAGTCCTTAAACACGAGACCAGCCCAAATAAGATGGGCACAGAGCGCCCGGCTTACCACCCAACACACACGCTTGCCTTATGCTCCTGGAAGGGGAGACTTATTTTCATTTTTCTCAGAATTGGGTGAAAATCCATGAATGAGACATGACCACCCCCCCGACATGGCACAAGCCTGTAGGCAGCATGTTTTCATAACATGCGTACTTCTGGGATGACAGCAGACAGCGCAGAGCAGACCCCCAGGGCCCAAGGCTCACACGCAGCACACACAACAGCACACCGGGGTTGGTCTTCCTGCAGCAAGTGTTGGGGTACGGTTCTTCCTTCTCTGTGCCTTCTTCCTGTTCTTCTTACATATCTCCTTTGTCTGGTGAGTTCCCCAGACTCCCCATCCCTGTAAGTAAGAGCATCTTCCTTCCTACATGAGCCCACTGTGAATGTTGTGAAATCTGAAGATTTTTTACTGTCCATCTTCCCTGGTAACACACATTGCACATACAGGAAACTTGTCTGTGGAAAAAGAATAAAAGACACTGATAGTTATTCCTAAAGCAGATGCAGCTGTCATTTCAGGAGACTTCAGGCCCTTGTAAGATGAGCTGAGAGGAAAAATTCTAGGCCAACTCTGCAGTGATACGTTTATAATACACATGTTCATAGTATTATAAATTTCACATTTCCACATTTCTGTACTTACAAGGTCTTAATCATAATGAGTGTCATTTCTTTATTCTCTTCAGGAAGGAAAATTATCATTTCCACATGGACTTGAATTGCAAAACTGTTCATAGAGACGATGGGATTTTTGTTCCTGCCATGATGGCCATAATGATTTCTTTGTAGTTTATGTTTATTTAGATAACAAATTATGCTTAAAAGCATAGCAGACTCCCAAGTGCTCTTTGGTGAACTTGAGTATTGTTCTGATATACTTTAGAGTTAAAAAAAAAAAAGAGTCAAAAGAATAGACTTTTGTTTCCCAACAAGAACAAGTAAAAGTTCATTCACAAGCCAGAAAGATAATGTTCTTTTATGAAAATGGAAGACTGCATCAGTTCTAACAATCTATTAGTCCATCTCCGAGAGACGGTGAAAGATAGGGAAGCCTGGTGTGCTGCAGTCCACAGGCTCACAAAGAGCTGGACGTGACCGACCTACAGAATAATGACAACAATCACTACTATGGAATTACGTTAACGATAGTATATTAAATAAGCTAGGACACTAAAGAATTTGTCTCACATATTTTTAACTGGGCACTCTTTAGTTCAGTATGGTGCCAGTCTTCTTAATCATCGACAATTTCAAATCTGGGCTAAGTCATAAATTCAGACCTCCCTTTTGTAAGCTGTGCAAGTGAGAATAATCTGCTTTCAAGACTCTTCCTCCCATTGTCTGGCAGTGTTGGATATAAGCTTATTTACTTATAAGATTGGTTTGAAAAGTTTTCAAGTTGGCTTTCTGAAGCTTACCATGTATTTTGTTAGAATCTGTAGACCCTCAGTAGAATTGTCAAAGATTTCTTTATCCCAACCGGTAAATAACAACATTGATTAAAAAAAAAAAAAGTCTAAGCTGTGGATCCCAAGAGGGTTTTCTGAGTGAGGAGGAATGCAGGTTATAGTGCTTATCCCTCTTTCTTGGTATAGAGCTAACTGGAAAATGGGAGAAATTCAGATGCATAGTGCCACAGAGATGCATATAAGAAATGTGCTCATTCTAGAATGACAGAAAATGAAATAAATTATATAAAGAAAAAAGAAAGAAAGTGCTCAGTCCTTGATAGGTGGTAATGTTTTGGTATTGCTTTTAGTTTACAACAAGTTTTAAATTAACATATTTATCAGGGCCTATTATGTTTTTAAAACAGCTCTGTTGAGATATGATTCACATACAATATATAATTCATCCATTTAAAGCATATCACTTGATTCTTTTTTATATGTGTCATTAGTTTCATAAATTATGGTAAAATACATGTAATGTGAAATTTTGTCATTTTAACCGTTTTTAAGCATGCAGTTCAGTGATACTATAATTACATTCACAGTGCAGAGCAGCCATCTCCATTTCCAAAACTGTATAATTACCCCCCAAAATTCTATAATCATTAAGCAATATCTCCCCATTTTCCCTTCCTCCTAAGCCCTGTTAAATTCTAATCTACTTTCTATAAATGTGCCTTTTCTCAATACTTCACCTAAGTGGAATCATGCAGTATATGTTGTTTTGTGTCTGACTTATTTTACCTGATATGTTTTCAGGGTTCATACATGTTGTGGCATCTGTCAGAATTTAATTTTTATGGCTGAATAATATTTCACTGTCTGTATATACTCCCCTTTGTTTTTCCATTCCTCTGTTGATGGATCCTTGGGTTGGGTAGATACCTAGGAATAGAATTGCTGGTTCATCTGGTAATTCTGTGTTTAGCTTTTTGAGGAGCCATTAAACTGTTTTCCATTTTACATTCCTAGCAACAATAAACAAGGATTCAGATTCCTCCACATGCTTGCTAACACTTGTTATCTTCCACTTGATTTGATTATAGCCGTTCAGGTAGATGTGAAGTGGTATCATATTGTGGTTTTGATTTGCATTCTCTAATAGTTAATAATGTTTATCTTTTCATGTGCTTATAACGAGCATCTTTTCATGTGTTTATTGGCCATTTGTATATCTTCTTGGGAGAAATGTTTATATAAATCCCTTGCCCATCTTTTATCGGATTGTCTTTCTATTGTTGAGTTGTAGAAGTTCTTGGTATATTATGGATATTTATCTGCTATCAGATGTATGATTTGCAAGTGTTTTGTCCTATTCTGTAGGTTACCTTTTTTTGTAATTCTTTTTTAAATTTATTTTTATCGAGATATAGTTGAATTACAATGTGTTAGTTCCTGCTGTACAGTCAAGTGTGTAGGTTGTCTTTTTACTTTCTTAATAATGTCCTTTGATGTGCAAAAGCTCTTCATTTTGATTAAGTTCAATTGATCTGTTTTCTTTTTTGTTGCCTGTGATTTTGGTGTCATATCTAAGAATCTATTGCAAAATTATCAAATAAGTTCTTAATATATCCTGATAAATGTATCATAATCCTTTTTAAGAACATCTAAGACAGTGCTTGGTACATAAGAGACCCTGGATAAATGTAAGAAAACGTAAACCAGCTTTTTTTAATCATCACATGTAGTGAATTAAATTCTACGTAAATGTGGTTTTTATCAGAAACACCAGAAATGAGCCCACAGAGGACAGTTGCAGACAGACCAGAGGTTAAGAAACAGGTTTTCTATTCTTAGATTTCAATCTGGAGACGGTAAAATGATTGATACAGAAATGGGGGCAGGTTGGGTGGGGGGCACAGGGGGCAAATTGACGAGAGAGCTTGAGGCAGTTATATGCACACTTGTTATGCAGCTGAAACCAGCACAGTTAACCGGATCCAACCAGAAGTAAGCTAATCACATCCCTATCTGAAGATTCTGCAGTAGCTCCTTGCGTCCCAAAGAATCAGAGCTAAACCTAGCCTGGCCTTCACGCTACCCGCCTGTTCTCACAAGATCACATTCTGTGGATGCTTGGAGATGGATGGATGGGCAGTGAAAGTGAGAAAGAGGGACCATGACACATAGTCGTGTTGGGGAAGATGCTTCTAACAGATCAGATCTGCAGTGCAGAGCTTTAGTCAACATTGAGCAAATGCATTGACAGATCAGCTGGCTGACCAGTGTCCCTCTACTCCCTTGGCCAACAGGACCCCAGCGAGATGCCCAGGCAGCTCGAGAATTCATCCTGAAGATGTTCGTGGACCTGAACCCAGACAGTGACAAAATCATCTACTCACACTTCACATGCGCCACAGACACCGAGAACATCCGCTTTGTGTTCGCTGCTGTCAAGGACACCATCCTCCAGTTGAACCTCAAGGAGTACAATCTGGTCTAATTGTGCCTCCTCGACGCCGCCCTTCCCTCCCCTGGTGGGCTAGTGAAGCTAAACAAGAGGGACTGTATTTCTGTGGAAGCAATTTGCATAATACTAATTTATTGCCGCCCTGGACTCTGTGAGCGTGTCCACAGAGTTTGTAGTAAATATTATGATTTTATTTAAACTATTCAGAGGAAAAACAGGATGCTGAAGTACAGTCCCAGCACATTTCCTCTCTTTTTTTTAGGCAAAATCTTGTGACTCAATGTATTTTAAATTCTCAGTCATGCACTCACAAAAATAAGAGCTGTTTCTTCCTCTCTCTCTCTCTCTCTCTTTCTTTTCTATTAAGCAAAATGAAGTTGATTTTCCTTTTCCCAACCCATCCCTTCCTCTTGATTTTTCCCACATTACAATGGCCTTTATCCTAGTTCCATTCTTGGTCAAGTTTTCCTCTCAGATGATACAGTCAGGACAATGTCATTCATTTAAGCCATCGACTCGGCTGAATTTAACAGCTTGTGGTTTTTGCTGAAGGATCATAAGTATTAATACTGTGGTTTTAAATGTATTGCTCTGGATACACATATAGAGGTCTTTTTATATAAATATATTGTCTTGCCCCACTTTGGGCTGGGACAGTGGATGCCTGTTTAATGGTTAAGTGTCTTGCTATTTTTGGTTTTTTTTTGAAGTTTACCTTCAGCCATAACTGGTTGCTCAGCAAACCATATAGAAGTCAGTAAAGCACGGGCCAAGACACACAGGAGTTCTTCCTTTTGAAATATCATGTGCCATTGTTCTTCCTCCATTTCTTGCCATTTTTTTCTCCACCCTCTTTTCTTCAAATTGCAGATGCCAAAAAAATATGCCAACAGACACTACATTATCCCAGTGGCTGCTGCCCAGATCCTTCTTATAGGTTGCTCTTAATTTTTTTTTTTCCTAAAACTTTTTCTCCCTCTTTTTTTTTTTGCCTTAGTGTTTGTTCCACAATTTTAAAATGACTTTTAACTATGGATATGTGTTGCCAAAGCTGGCTTTGAAAAAAAAAAATTAATGAGAGCTTAAAAGATGAAAGCCAGTACCTTAAAATGTAAGAGAGTAAGACTGTGAAGCCTAAAATGCTTGTGCTGAGAATGAACCTGAAACATCAGTTGCCAAACTGTTGGTCACTGTAAATTTCATTCTTACAGTCCATCGTTTTCTTTGCCCTTAAATCACATTGTTTAGTGTCCACATTCCATGTTGAGCGTCTAAATCAGCAATGTGGAAAAGCTGTCTTGTGTGATACCCCATGAAATCTGCTTTTATCTTTTCATTTGAAGCCAGTTTTACTCTCTTTGTGTTCTTTAAGGTCAAGTAGGTCTGCCAAAAACGTTGGTCAATAGTATTACTCTGACACCTTTAACTTGCAGACTCTGAAGTTACTGCTAGTTTACCATCTTTGAGATCTTAAACTGGTGACTGATTGAGTTGAACTTAAGGAAGATTTGTGGACTGAAACTCAAAAGTAACCTCTCTGTTCTATAAAATGTGTATCTATGTAACTGAGCATAGTAGGAGAGAGATCTAGAATTCTATATGTGCAATTTTTCAACCAATGCAAAAAACACAGCACATGTATTGATGATCTTCTGTCAAGCAGCTTGAATTGAAATATAATTTAAGAAAATAAATCATGATGGTTTAAACCTGCTGGGAAGGTAGAATTAGGCCATGATCCTGGTCTAATTTTACTACAATACTATTTGGCAGGAGTCTATAATCTTTTATGTAAATCACTGTTTTGGAACAACAAAGGAGAAAGAAAATTAATGGCTTATCAGATGAGTACCAGAGTTATTCAATAATAATGGAATGTTCCCATTCTTTACTCTGCCAGACTCAAAGTACACAGGTTACCTGGTTTTTCTCTCCTTATTCAGAAAGCACCTGTAATTTAATTAAGAAACAGACTGCCTGTAGGTATAGTGCAATTATGAATGCTCTAATCATTGTACATACATCTCTCTCTTGATATTGTATCATCCATACTGGCTTTGTAATCATTAATTTTTTGGCAGATTGAATGTGCTGTATTGATATGTATCTATGTAATTGTATGTCTCATAGCTAATTCACATTTTGAATAATGTTATTTTATTTACTTTTTTAAGAGAGGAGAATGTAAATTTGTCAGTTTATTTCTGACTAGGGATTTTTTTTTCCATTTAGAAAAGAAAAAAAAAAAACACCTTACTATCGAACAGAGCGGTACTAGCATCGTGCTATATAAAATCATTTGCACATTCCTAAGTAGAGGTATACTGATTATAAGACCCAAAGGTAATTTCATAAGCAAAATACATAAAATCAGTTGGAGCTTTTATACAAACATGGAAACCAACTTTGTAGAACTTTTGCCATTTGACCTAGGATTGGAATATGAGCTTTTATACAATTCATATTCTTATTTGGCAAATGCACAGTTTAGTATTACCTCTCTGATGGCCTTTATTAGAAAGGCAGTTTTAGAAGCTATTGTGATCCACTAAGGAAATGTTTTAATAGCTAGCGACCACTGCTTGCCTGAAAGGGCGATCTTAAATTTGGTGCAGCAAAAAAACAAAACAAAAAAAAGAAAAAAAAAAGGAAAAAAAAAAAGTATAAACAACATTTGAAGGCCTACAGTGTGTATAGCGAAAACCTCATCACAAGATCATAAGTGTTACAGTTTTAGGGAATCAGGATATTCTATTTAATAGAGCTATAGTAGATGTAGTCAATTAAACCTGATCTCAGAGCTCCAAGAAGCTGAGCAAAACAGGGAAAGATTGTTATATTTGTCTTCATGAAATTGGGATGGAATTGCTATGCAGAATTGAGGTTTGTGGTTTCACTGTTCATTTTAGGGTGCATGATAAGATCCCTTTTCTTCAGAAGGGAAAAAATTGATCACCCTAGTTACAGTGATACATAGAAACCGAATTGTATCCACACTAGTCAATTGAAGCTAAAGGATTTTCTTTTTTGTTTCTTTGGGGTTTTACTGAACGGGCTGGGGTGGGAAGGGATTCTTTTCAGTTTTGTATAAAAATGAAGTTTACTCATGCTTTATATTATTGTGATTGCAAGCGTTCTAAGCGTGTGCCGCTGGACCCCTCTTGTTGATGCTCTCAGTAACGGAGGCCTGTGGCAAGTTGTGTGGTGACTTGGGCATGTCTTATTCAAAAACAAAAACACAGAAACCTTTCTTCCGCAGACCAAGGCAAGCAGCCGTCTCATGACTCACTTAACACATTGCAGTGTACTAGTTTACAGATGATTTTGCCCTTTTTGCGTGACATGGCAGTTCCAACCCACAGAGAATCCCTTGTTTGTAAATTGGAGGTTTGTACTATGCCTTACAGAGCTTAAATTCAGAAGTCTGTGCCTCATATCTGAAACAAAGGGAAATAACACACCCATTCAAAAGTAAATAACTCCCCTCAAAGTGTTTGTTTTTCGATCCATTTTCATATAAAGAGCTCTGTTGAATGTCATGAATAGAGTGGGGGAGAAAATATTCTAGAAACCTGCATATGTTGTTTACTAGCAGATGACATCTACAAAAGGTATTTGAAGAACACCGAAACTTGTAATTTTTTGTAGATTAGCTAGCAGGTCTAATATTTAAAAAGGTAATTCAGCTAAAGGACAATTTACTTTTTGTACTTCAGACTATCTTGATTGTCAAGGTGTACGAACTGTAATTTTAAAATTTATACTGCCACATGATTGTAAATTTTAGTTGTCTTAAGTTAGTAATGGGTGAAAAGCTATTTATGCTGGATATGGGTCAAAAATGACTATTATTTGCAAAAAAATATATAAAAATAATGGGAAGAAAGGGCTGCATAATGAGATACTGCAAGACTCAGATATTGGTTGGAAATAATCTTCAAGTTACCCTCAATTTCCCTTTGTTTTCAGTTTCTCAAAAAGAATGAATGAAATGAAATATAGCAGAATGTTAACCCATATAAAAATAAAGTGTACCCAAATATTGTAACGTATATTGCTGCTCTTCTTAAAATTAAATAAGGGTTTAAAACCACTTAATTGGTAATTGACAACATCTCAATTGACAGATAAGTTGTGCTTGGTATACATATTTTCTTCCAAAGATTTTTCTTTGGTTAGAAACACACAAAAATTAAAACTAGTAATATTGTATGTTTATCTATCTCTACATATTTCCAGCATATGTAGCATTAATAGATCTGTCCTGGTAACTATGTCTTTGGGATTTCATTTTGATTCCATCACTTTAGGAAAAGAAATGGCTTAGTTGTATAGGATTAGCTAGAGATTTTTGGAGCCAGGTACCTGCTTTGTAGATACTTAGTATAAAGTTGCCATTTGTTTTTCTCACAGAATAACAATTTCTTGCTGTCTCAACTACCAGTGCTCTTCAGTAACCCTCTTGCCTCTAGAATCATCTGTTCAAAGTATGCATACACACCCAGCACATAGTAGGTGCTCAAGTATTAATTTTCTTCTTACCTCCCTTATCATGTAACCTCCATTTCCCTGTATGATTCCAACCCAATAGTAAACAACACTTACACGTTATGAAAACATCTATGGGTAAAATTGGATCTCACTTGGATGAAGGAATTCTAACTTCCATATAAGCTTTGGTAGACAGAAAAAAAAAAAAAAAACAGGGAGGAAGATATTCTTCAGTAGAATATTTTTAAATTTAGAAAAGAAAGATGGAAAATTACTATGTGACTTTGTTCAGGTTACTTTGACTGAAACACATGTTTTTGGTGGATTTCTTTTCCTCAAAGAACTCTCTAAATGCAGCTTGCTGGATTCCTCACCTGTCATCATGTTGGAAACCCTTCCTAGACTTATGTATTTAGGGAGTTTTGTCAGAAAACATTTTTAACTTGCAGTATTTAAAAGAATCATATTTACTGTTCTTAAAATGTCATTCAAATGCATGTATTGTCTATTGTTTGGGGATGGGAACTAGTTTTGCAAAAAAA